CCGGCTGCTGGGGTAGGTACCTGGCCACCATAAAAAGGCATAAACAGTCAGCAGCCACATCATCCTCCTTTTTGGCTATCTTCATACTTTATATATGCTGGAACTTTCACTGAGTCCTTCAGCCCAGGCTGGCCACCGCTGGAGGCCCGCTGGGGTGGGGGCAGGAGCGTGCTTGGGGCCTGAGGTCACTCGGGAGCTGGGCCGCAGCTTCTCTTCCTGAGCTTTGGCTCCCACACCAAATATGGTGCAGCTGAGTCTGGCACCAGACAGGAGCCAGGTGCCCGGGCACGGGTCGGGCGCTGCTTCCTGCTCTCAGTGGTCCAGGGCCAAGCGCTCCGGGCTCCCTGACGCCAGGGCTCACTCTGCAGCTGGCTGACTTCCATCTGCTGTCTGTCCTCCTGCCTGCCTGCCTGTCTGTCTTGTCTGTCACCCATCACAGTGGCTCACACTGGGTTAAAAATGCTCTGGACCAAAATAGCCTCTCTCCCCAGAGCTGGGGGCCTGGAAGCCAGGGTCATGATTTGTACTACAAATAAGTGAAAGCGGGGCTGGTGAGATGGCTCAGTGGTCTAAAGCACCTACTTAGAACAAGCTTAGCAGAGCACAGGGACGGTGGTTCAGTCCCCCAGCACCACATGCCAGCCAGCCTCGCCCCCTGGTGGGCTGAGCTGGCCACACGCACGCGCGCACACACACGTAAATAAATAAATAAAAACAAATAAGTGAAAGGCACCACATGTGAGACAAGAGCAGGTGTACCACCAGGTGTGACAGGCACTTGGGAATACAATCCGTATCAGGAGCAGTCCTTGGAGCACACCACCATGTCACCTTGCCTCCTGCGCCTGTCCCGTCCTTCTTGGCAATGTAACTTTTACTGTAATCATTTTTTTTTTTTTCTTCTAAGACAGGGTCTCTTGCTGTATATTTTGGGTTGGGTTTGAACTCACTATGATGCCCAGGCTGCCCATGAGGCCTGATGTTGCCGTCATCTTTTGCAGATGGAATTATGGGTGCTGAGAGGGCACAGAAAGGCTGCACTCCTGCTGGTAGAGGTCTGTTCCTGAGTTGAGACGGTCTCCGCCCACCCAGTTGCTCCAGCCCCAGGCTCCCAGGTGAGGGGCCAGCTACTCAGGGATTATGGATGTCATGGGGTGGTTCCCTGCCCCCTCCAGCACCCGGATCAGCACCCAGTCAGTTCCTGGAATCCAGGATTCCTGTAGCCTGCCTTGAAAATGATGCCATGGTCCTCTGGAGCTGCTGAGCTCAGAGGGTGGTGCCTGGTGGGGGCCGGGGAGATGGCTCAGTGGAATAAGTGCTTCCCTGGCAAGCGCAAGGGCCTGAGTTCCATCCCTGGTTCCGCCAAAAAAGAAAAGAGGGTGGTGCATGGGACATGGAAGGCACCAGGGAGTGCTGGCCAGCTGCTGTCTATAGTAAACACTGTGTGGGGAACCAGGCAACCCTAGGTCCTCCTATCTCGCAGGCCACAGGAGCTGGGGACAGCATGAACCTGGACCCCCTACCCTGCCCCTTGAGGGCTGTGAGATGCCACGTAACCTGAAGGTCCTCACTGGGCCTGTTGGCTGCTCCAGGTACCCTAGGTGAGTGCTGTCCCCCTGGGCAGCTGTGGTGTGAGTCAGGGAAGGTCAACTGGAACATGCAGGCTCATGGGCTCTATTAGGTGGATAACTAACGCCTGGCTGAAGAGCCTGACTTGTACCCTGGCCATCTGTGGCACATGGGAGTGGCCTTTGCCACTGGCCGCGTGGATGTCACCAAAGAGCACTGGCGGAGAGCTGTTAGTATTAGTCAAGGTCATAGGCCATGGTACCAGCTCCCCATCCCCTCTCGCTCCACACCTGTGCTTGGGGCTGATGCCACCACAACTGGAGACTCCACATACCTAGGCCTCCTCGGGGCTCCAAGCACGGGATCTGGTGCGGTGCCCATCCATCTTGATGCAGCCCCTGCCTCCATGATGACATCCCTAGCCACGCGGTGTTGTCCTGGGCTGTCTGTCCCCAGGCCTGGTCAGGAGCCAGGTAGCGGTGCCATCCCCTCTCATGGCCCCTGCATATGCCAGACACCAGCTGCCCTCGAGGGGAGGCCAGCCCAGAGCTTGGGATCTTTTTTTTTTTTTCATTTTTTAAAAAATTCATTTGTGTGTGTGGGGGGGGCAGCTCAGCCCACCAGGGGGCAGCAGGGCTGGCTGGCATGTGGTGCTGGGGGATTGAACCGCGGTCCCTGTGCTTTGCTAAGCTTGTTCTAAGTAGATGCTTTAGACCACTGAGCCATCTCACCAGCCCAGAGCTTGCGATCTTGCATGTTATTACAGAGAGACCTCTGTCTGCCATCCCTGGCTACTGTTCTGCTATATCCCTGGCCCATTTTTTATTTTTCTTTTGAGGCGTCTAGGTGAGTCACTAAGCTGCCCTGGCTCAAGGAGGTCCTCCTGACTCGGCCTCCCACAGTGGGGGTCGCGCGTCTTCCTGCCTGAATGTTGGTGCCTCACCCTTGCAGATTGGCCTGCTCCGTGACACGGCTGCGTGACCTGGTGGTGGACGATGTCCAGGGCCCCAGACTACCTGCTTCAGCTGCTGCGGGGCGCCCCCAGGCGGCGCGTCTGCACCTTCTTTCTCATCGTCTTCAAGCTGTTGTGCTTTGTCTTCGTGCTCATCTACTGGCATGTTGGCGGGGAGCCTGAGGACCGAGCCCACCTCTACAGCCTGCCCGTGGACATCCCCTGCCCCACGCTGGGGCCCCCCGGCCCGCCCAACAGCACCCCACTTGCAGGCAACAACATTTTCTTCCTAGAGACTTCGGAGAGGACCAACCCCAACTTCCTGTTCGCCTGCTCAGTGGAGTCGGCCGCCAGGGCGCACCCCGAGGCGCAGGTGGTGGTGTTCATGAAGGGGCTGCGCGGCGCCCCGCCGCCCCGGAACCTGGGCCTGTCGCTCCTGGGCTGCTTCCCCAACGTGCAGCTGCTGCCGCTGGACCTGGACGCGCTGTTCCGGGGGACCCCGCTGGCCACCTGGCACACGGCCTCGCAGTGGCGTTGGGAGCCCTACCGGCTGCCCGTAACCTCGGACGCTGCGCGCCTGGCACTGCTCTGGCGATTCGGGGGTGTCTACCTGGACACAGACTTCATTGTCCTGCGCAATCTGGGGAAGCTGAGAAATGTGCTGGGCATGCAGTCGCGCTACGTTCTCAACGGCGCCTTCCTGGCCTTTGAGCAGCGACACGAGTTCCTGGCACTGTGCATGCGTGACTTTGTGGCGCACTACAACGGCTGGGTCTGGGGCCACCAGGGCCCCCAGCTGCTCACGCGCGTCTTCAAGAAGTGGTGCGGGATCCGCAGCCTGGCCCAGAGCCGCAGCTGCCGCGGCGTCACCACCCTACCACGCCAGGCCTTCTACCCCGTGCCCTGGCAGAACTGGAAGAAGTATTTCGAGGACATCAGCCCCAAGAAGCTGTCGCAGCTGCTCAATGCCACCTACGCTGCACATGTGTGGAACAAGAAGAGCGAGGGCTCACATTTTGAGGTCTCCTCTCGGACGCTGCTGGGCCAACTATATGCCCGCTACTGCCCCACGACACACTGGGCCGTGAGGCTGTACTTGTGAGGGACCTGGATGTAGGCAGGAGACTGCAGGCTGCTGCAGTGGGGGGGGGGACCAGGAGGTGGGGTGCAGGGATGTGGTCGGGCCTGAGTCTGCACCTCCAGGCTCACATGGGGGTGGTGGACACCCACTGGGCCAGGGCTGCCTGGAGCTACCCTAGCATCTGCTGCTGTGTAGAAAGCAGGCAAAGAGAGTGTCTGGGATCCCAGCACTTGGAGGCTGAGACAGGAGGATGGCTGAGGGTGCAAAGCCAGCCAGTATAGCGAGTTCAGGATCCGCCTAAACTAGGTGGCCAGGCCCCATCTCAAAATAAAAGAGCAGACCTGAGCTGGAAGCAGTTTCCAGGCAGCTCTGAGAAGCCTGGTGGGCTGGGGCTAGGTGAGGGAGGGGAGTTGGAATGGGGGCTTTGGAAATTCTTTGGGCTTGAGAGGAGCGTTTTAAAGCCCCCAGTACACTGTTGTCTTGAGAAGACTTGGAGGCCACTCTGGGAGCCAGAAGGTGTCTGCAAAGCACAGATGCCAGGAGCCAGCTGCTCGCCTGGCACAGCGGGTCACACAGTGTGCATCCCACGCACAGCAGGGCCGAGGCGCTTGCCTACAGCTCCAGACCTGGGGAACACAGGGCAGAGTGACAGACAGGGGTCACAGCTGGACTGGCACCAGGGGAGCCCGAGTGGCCAGAGGCACCCTCCTCTGCCGTGGGGCACAACCGCATCTCACTAAAGTGTGCACCTTGTGCGCTAATCTCACAGTGGTACAAATATATTTTTCTTGATGGTGAAATATATTTTTTAGAAAACACATTGTTATAGGTTTCTTGAAAGGGTTTGCAAAAAGAGTGTTTTGGAACACAAGCCGCGGGCTTGTGGCGCCATAGGGTTGTCATGTAAGTTGTCACACAGGCCCAGTGGGCCAAGCGAGTTTAGATTCAGAGAGTAAGTTTGGAACCAGGCCGAAGCCTTAAGATGATTTCTGTCCTGCCCATGTCAGCTGTTACCGTGCAGAAGAATAAAGTGACTCCTGGCGTCCAGTGCTCTGTGGTCCGTGATAGGTTTCCAGCTCACAGCCGGGAGGGCCACTCTACAATGGGGGGCACTGTTTTCCCCACCTCAATTTTTAAGGTTCATAAAAAGCCTTGAGCACGGCGTGGTGGTACACACCTACAAGCGTCGCACTTGGGAGGCTGAGGCAGGAAGTCTGCTATTGAATTCAAGGCCAGCCTGATCTACCTACAGAGACCCTGTCTCAAAGCAAAAGCCATGGTGGGGTCCCATGGGTTTTCCGGGTTCTACCCTGCTAGAAGCCTGGATATTCTAACCTTACTGGAGCCCCAGGGTAGGGCCCAGCACTGCCAGGGCTGGCTGGGGCCTGGGCTGGGCCAGAGGAAAATGTGAGCTCTGTGGAGCTCGGCCCGGCCTGGTTCCAGCTGTGGGTTTGGCCTCTAAGGCCAGGCCTTCTTGCCAGGCAGAAGGTGGCATTCAGGATGGGGACCTCGCAGGGGCTCTGCAGCAGCCACTAAAGAGGGAGACGCTCATTGGCTTCTGGACTCTGCCTGCTGAGCAACCCCAGCTGCCCAGCAAGGGGGTGAGCTGCCTGGCCCTGGGGGTATTCAAGAGCAGCTGTCGTCTCTGCTGAAGACAAAGGGATATCAGCTAATTATCTTTCCAACCACAGTGTCATTTCACGTTTTAATGATTTTGAGGCTTGCTGGCTTGACTTTATGAATATAAATAACATATGCAACTCGATTTTCTTTTTTTCTTTCCTTGCAGGGCATGCCTATAATCCCAGCACTCAGGAGGCTGAGGTAGGAGGATCTCCGCATTTGAGGCCAACATGGGCTCCATAATGAGTTCAAGACTAACCTGGGCTCCATAACAAGAGTTATCTTGTTTGTTTTGTGTTTTTTGTCTTTTTGAGACAGGGTCTTGCTATGTACCTCAGGCTGGCCTTGAGCTCACTTTGTAGCCCAGGCTGGTCTCAAACTCACAGTGATCCTCCTGCCTCAGCCTCCAGAGTGCTGGGATTACAAGCATGCACCCGCATGCCCAGCAGCAAGACCTTGTCTTAAAAAACAACATAGTGTTGCTGTATCAACCAGGAACACAGGCGAGAAATAAGAAAAATAAAGATGTAGGTGCACGGAAAGACCTAGGGGCATGGCTGTGTGTGGCTGTCATGCCCACACTCAGGAGGCTGAGGCAAGAGGATTGCTCAAGTTTGAGGCCAACCTGGGTGCGTAGTGAGGCCCTATCTCAGGAAAAAACAAAACAAAGCACATACAGGAGTGTCCAGGCAGTGTCACTACAGTGAGGGGGAGCCACTCCAGTGGCCAACAGCTGGCGGACAGTGCACTGAGCACACCATCCCAGAGCCTGGAGACCTAGGCAAGCATCCTTTTCCCCATTCTGTGGGTGTTTCCTCAGCATGGAGTCGGGGCGCACAGCTCTGACTGGCCCAGTGAGGATGGGTGAATGGCCTCGGCTGGCAGAACACCAGACACAGGACCGGCCCCAGCACCCTGATCCTCTGGCTTCTGCTCGTGGACTGGAATCCTACTGCCCACTTCTGGGGGCTTCCGAGCCCTCTGCCTGCACGGAGCTGCAGCCAAGATCCCAAGGTTACTGCAAAGGTTGTGACAGCTCAGCCTCTGGAATCACAGACCCGCCTCCCCTGAAAATCAGTCAACGTCATGGACTAGTACAGGGCAGTGTGTCTGGGTTTTTTTGGCAGAACCAGGGATTGAACTCAGGCCCTTGGATTGCCTGGAGAGTGCTTATTCCACTGAGCCATCTCCCTGGAGAAAGACAATCTTGCTGTTTCCCAGGCTGGCCTTGAACCCTTGGGCTAAACAGATCCTCCTGCTTCAGCCTCCTAAGTAGTTTGTTCCACAGGCCTGTATTGCCATGCCCAGCTATTATCAGTAAAAAGGATGGGGTTCTGGGCTGGTGGTCACTCAGCAGTCTAAAGCGCCTGCTTAGGCAAGCGGCGGGGACTACGGTTTGATCCCCAGCACCACAGACCGCACCAGCCCCTGACACATCCTTACAAAGCAGGCAAGCCTTGTATACTTTATTTGGAATGAAAGAAGTCAGGCAAAAAGCCACAGAGTGGGGGCCTGGCCCTAGCTCAGTTCTTTAGTGGCTGCTTCCACAAAGCTGTCAGCCTCAGGTTGCTGGAGTTCGAACCTCACAACTCTCCCGCTGGCCAAAAGTGCCCTGAAGGCATTCGAGGAACCAAAAAAAAAAAAAAAAGCCACAGAGCTTGGGGTTGGTTTCCATGAAGGGGCTCGGGATGGAGCCTGGAGACGCAGCACAGGGCTGGAGGTAGCAGCACGTGGAGTTTCCGTCAGTGCCAAGAAGTGTTTTGGTGGGTTTTTTTGGTGGAACCAGGGATTGAACTTGGGCCTTTGCGCTTGCCAGGGAAGTGCTTATTCCACTAAGCCATCTCCCGGCCCCTTTTTCTTTTTTTTTTTTTTTTTGCGAAGTGTTTGTTCTGAGGTCAGTGGGGAAGGTGGAACAACTGTGAATGCCCAAAGGCACATGCATCGCATCGTGAGGCTCACACCGCATCTCCACGCTGGCACTCAGAAGGCACGTGGCACGTGTGCCTGTGGCTCCGTGGACAAGGACTCTGGGGTGGCGCCATTCTGTGGGCAGCTTAGGAGCATGAAGCACCCAGGGTTCGACCATGAGAAGTAGCCCAGGCGGGGAGGCTGCGGGCAGGTTTCTGATTTCATTCGGTCCCTTCCTGGTCTTGGGGCGTAGCCTGGCCCTGCCCAGGTGTGACCCCAGCTGGGCCAGCTGAGGCTAGGGGGTGCCTTGGAATTCATGCTAGCATGGTACCCAGGCAGCCCCTGTGGGGTTGGTGACGATGACATCATGCAGCCGAGCTTGGGGCTGTGTCTGGACAGGCGATGGCTCTGTACCCTATGTAGTCTATTTTGGTTTTTTTGTTTTTGGCGGAACTGGTGATTGAATTCAGGCCCTTGTGCTTGCCAGGGAAGCGCTTATTCCACTGAGCCATCTCCCCAGCCCTACTTACTTGTTTTTGTATGTGGTACAAGGTCTCACTACGCAGTTTGGACTTGTACTGATCCTCCTGTTTTCAGCTTCCCCAGCACTGGATTACACAAGTGCACCGCCATGCCTGGGCTCTGGCTGGCTCAGCGCACCTGGAGGCAGGGCCACGTGGAGCCGGGACCCAACCCCGCCCCCGCTGTGCTTGCCTAAGCAGGTACTTAGTCCATGAGCTATCTCGTCCCCCCCATGTAAAGTCTGGGGTGCAACCTCCCTCAGGTTGAAACAGCTGGGAGGACAGGGACAGGGGTAGGAAAGTTCTGTGGGATGTGACAAACTCTTAGCTCAAGATCCTGAAAGGATTCAACATAAAAGTGATGCTGGCCAGTGGGGGTGATAGCTCTGTTGCACCGTACCCCTAAAGTTGGTCCTCATTGCACACATCTGTTGTCCTGGATTTTTGGAGACTGAGGCAGGAGGATTACCACGAGTCTGAGACCCTGACTCCAACAAGCAGAAATGTTTTTGCACTCCCCCCTCCCCTCCCCTCCCTTCCCCTCCCCTCCCCTCCCCCTCTCCATGCTGAGCTATCTCCCCAGCCCCCAAATCACTTCTTTTCATAGCAGCATGAACTTCCTCATTTTTCTGCCATTAAGTTTCATCATCTTTTTTGGGCAAGGAAAACCCATGAATCACTGTCTATCTGCACACAGGGGAGCCGGGCAGGCATAGTCATCTGTAATCCCAGCTACTTGGGAGGCTAAGGCAGGAGGACCGCAAGTTCTAGGCCAGCCTGAACTTGTCTCATGATTCACGACCACCCAGGCGTGGTGGTGCATGCCTGTAATCCCAGCACTCTGGAGGCTGAGGCTGGAGGATCTCCTAAAGTTCGAGGCCAGGCTGGGCTACCCAGGGAGACCATGTCTCAAGGAAAAAAAAAATACAAAGAAGGGGAGGGGCAGGGTTTACCTCAGAGGCAGAACCCCTGCACACTGCATGCCCGACTGGCAGCCCTCAGCCCCTTGGGCTTGCCTAGCTGGCCTCATTTTTCCTGCACCCCCAGC